GGAAAATCCTGTGAGGTGGCGCTTCATAACTTGGTAACAAGAATAGAGAAATCCTTAGAACAGAGTGAAATCATGATAGGTATAGGTGTCTTCGTTGATATCGAGGGTGCCTTTGATAGAACTCCTTACAACATCATAAATGATACACTAAGGAAAAAAGACATAGATGCTATGTCCTCCAGATGGATTGGGAGAATGCTGGAGGACAGAGTTCTAAAATCAGAAGTAGGGCACAAGGAACTGTCTGTGGATTAAACCCTGTGGTGGCTGTCCACAGGGAGGTGTGCTTTGTGGCTGACTCATTGTTGGAAGTCCTTAACACTGCAGGCATTTATGCACAAGGATATGCTGACGATATTGCCATCCTAATAGGAGGAAGGCATCAGTGTCCTCTCTGATATCCTCAGTACAGTGTCTAACATTCTTAGGAATTGGTGCAGGATTAATGAATGGACTAAGCATCAACCCTAGGAAAACCAATGTTTGTGTCTTCACTAAAAAGAAGAAGGTTTTTATCAAAATGCCGGAAATTAATGGTATTCAATTGACACTGAGCAAGGAAGTTAAACACCTTGGAGTCATTTTGGACCATAAACTATCATGGACTAAACACGTTCAAAACGTGACAAGTAAAGCCTTCAAATGCTTATGGGCCTGCAAAAGAGCGATAGGAAAGAATTGGGGACTCAAACCAAAAATGGTATACTGGCTGTACACAACGACAGTCAGACCTATCATACTTTACTCAGCTTTGCTATGGTGGCACAAAGCAGACTGTAGCCAACTTATCCTCATTAGGAAAGATTCAAAGGCTTGCATGTATAATGATAACAGGCGCGATGAGCATGACACCAACGGCTGCCTGGAGGTAATGTTAAACATGCCTCCGCTACAGCTGGAGGTGGAGGCTCGGGCAACAAACACATTATACAGGTTAAGCTAGTCAACTTACTGCTCACCATTCCCCTGCCTAGGAGGACACACAATACTGCTGAATAGGATTGGACGTGAAGGAGTACTAGCTATGCACTCTGACACTCTAATCCGAGAATATCAGGACCGAAAATATAAGGTTGGGATAGATAGCAGCAGATGACATAAACCAAATAGTGGAATAAATTGCTACACAGATGGCTCTCTAACAGCCTTCGGCTCTGGAGCAGGCATCTATCGCAAAGATATTAAAGAAAAAATTTCTATACCACTTGGCAGGTATGCTTCAGTGTTTCAATCTGAGATACTAGCAATCTCCTACTGTGCACAAAACCTACTGCGAAGCAACATGACTAGGAAAAAGATTACCATCTATACCGACAGTAAGGCAGCAATAGGTGCTATTAACAACTATTACATTTATTCAAAGGTCGTTAAAGAATGCAACACAGCACTTAACGAACTAACTAAGCACAATAGAGTTGCAGTGGAGTGGGTGCCAGGTCACTCTAGCATACCAGGCAACGAGGTGGCTGACGAACTAGCCAGATTGGGCTCAGATACCATTCCTGTAACCCCCGAGCCTGTCTGTGGAATCAGCCTCAGCACTGCCAAGGGCAGGTTCAGGGAGATGTATGGGAACAAAACAGTAATTACTGGACCGACAAGAAACAGCGACATTCGAAGCTGTTCCTAAAAGGTCCATGTGAAAAAAAGAAGTAAACTGCTACTGAACATGGACAGAGCAGCCCTTAAAAAGCTTACAGCAATCTATACACGTCACTGTAAGCTAAACTATCATAAGTTCAATCTTCGAGTAATGAAAAATCCGCTATGCAGATTCTGTTAGGAGGAGAGTGAAACAGCTTTTCACATCATATGCAGATGTGATAGATTTACAAGGCTGAGACTGGTGGTATTTGGGGAGGAACAAATGGATCTCCCCAGAAGTTATGAGTCGGTCAATCCAATCAGCCTACTTAGATACGCGGAAGCTACACGATTAACGTTTTAATTAAAACGACCAACTGAAATTGGCGCACAATGGACCCATTAGGGGTTGACGTGCTTATGGCCAACATATATAAAAAAAAAGTGGGTAAGAAATTTCAAAAAAAGGCAGCACACATAATAAAGGATTTTTAAAGGAAGTGATCCTATGAGAAGGAATATACACCTTTGTGGACTGGAATCTTGTGTTTGTAGAAAGATGCAAGGAGTAAACAAATCAAGAAATTAAGGTGTTTTGGTTGTAAAGGTTTAGAAAAGGAATACACCTAGGAAATATTGCCGTCGGAAGACTGGTTAGACTCACTTCTACTCAACATACCAACTGGAGACGTGATAGCACCTGGGGACTCCAAAGATAAAGCAATTCAATAGATTCTTTAATCTGATCTCATGCCTTCTTATTACTTGCAATTATTTCTTATTACTTACACTATTAGTTTACCATATACAAGGCAACCCTAGTGGAAGTGAGGAAACTAGAAGCTGAAGGATTTTAAGAGGCATAGAATCGTAGGATCTCAGGAACTATTTAAGGATATGAATAGAGTTTCTACTATTTTGGAAAAAATGGTTAAGAAGTTGGAATTACGAAGATGCCTCTATCGATTAGAATGGCTTAAGTCTTCTCAAAATTCAACCTCAAATCATAGCTTACTGCCCATATATTCAAGTCTATATCTCCCTGTAGTCTTCGGATCGCCTAAAGCAGGAGTTTATAGGTTTTCCCAAGAGGGCCACATTTTGACCTAAGACCTAAGGCCATGGCTTATGATGAAAATAAAAATCTTGTCCTATAAATGACAGTTGTGAAATTAGGTTTCTAAGAGAAACAACTTATAAAATAAATATCTAGGTAACCTTGTATTTGGAAGATATACTGAAATTCATATTTTCAAATTTTTTATCATTTAATTAAAGAAACATATATGGGCCTGATTAAAGGTGCTTGCGGACACCTAGTTTGGATATCCCTGGCTTAAAGCATCTTAGTTGAATATTAGATTTGGAGGTCTTCAGCATAGAAGTGGTATTGTGAATGTTGATTGGAATCAGGAAGGTCATTAATATAGAATGAGAAAGGGTTGGTGAGAGCAATGATCCCTGAGAAATATCACGAGTTAGGAAGGACTTTGTTTGGAAATAATAACTGTTTGTGATATGTGAAAACAAGTGGAACCTCGTTAGGACGCTATTTGATATGGAGAGATTTTGAAGTTTGGAAAGAAGGATTTCATGATTAATTAAATCAAATACTTTTGAAAAATCAGCCCTAGGAAAACCAATGTTTGTATCTCCACTAAGAAGAAGAAGGTTTTTATCAAAATGCCGGAAATTAATGGTATTCAATTGACACTGAGCAAGGAAGTTAATCAGCCAGAGAACCAGAAAATCAATTCAAAATCAAAGAACCAGGACGGAGATTTTCTGTTTTTTTATGAAAAATTGAAGTAATTTTCAGACCAAACCATACTGCTAGGAATTAAATAGAGCCTTTTGCTGAAGAAAGATATTAAGTTGTAAACGGAGTAGTTTTTCCAGTAGTTTTGAATTATAAGAGAGAATGGAAATAGATCTGAAGTTAAAAACTATGGAGAGAACTGAGACTGCTCAGCATACAGACTATGTCTGTTTTCCACGCTGATAGAAAACTGAAATTTCATAAGGAAAAATATTTAAATGTATTTATGGCAGGAAGACATAGTTTGACTAACTTCACTGGAATATCTGGACCATAGTCATTCATTCTAGATATGAGAACAGAGGAAAGCAGGTCCTCTGGTGAAATACTTGTAAAATAAAACATATTAGGGTCAAATGAACTGTTAAAAATAACAGGTCCAAGTATTCACTGAAGATTCTTTCATATAACAATGTTTTGTCGTTTGGGTCCCGGTCTCTGCACCATATGTGAGGGCATATTACAGTTTTATATAAAATAATTTTTTGTTTTATTATTCATTTGTCTTTAAAATAAACCTGTTTCTAAGTGTTGTCTCAGCCCTAAGTATCAGATATTCTCCATATTCTAATCGCCATCTATATTTCATTATCACAAGTAACTTGGAATCCAAGTAATGTGCATTCAGTAATTTGTTTGAAGAAGTAAATACCAGATTGCATTTTATCCACTGGCATAGGGTTTTTTTTTCTGATATTATGTAATTGGTTTTTTGTTGGTTAATCTTCAGACCAAATCTTGCTTTTTCTACTGGAGTATAAATATCCTCTCTTACTGCTTGCTGAGAGGAAATAGGTTATTAGAAGGAAATAGAGCAGTAATATAAATGATTTTTTCTTTTAAATAAAATAAAAAAACAATCAAATTTCAAGAGAACTAAAATTTGATGAATCAATTACACTTGTGTGTTTTCAAGTATTATAACATGATAATATGTCTCAATATACAGTTTACGAGTTTATTATTTTTAGAGAAGTGTCATCTTGCTCAGATTTCAAGAGCACTACACGTTCTATGAAAATTACCTCAGTGTTTAAAACTTAGAGTTTTGAAAGCCCTTGACTCTGAAAGTCTGAAAAATATTTATTAATAGGCAATTAGCTACAGTTTATGTACTTATTTTCACAGTATAAAACAAAATTATCTACAACAGGTGTCTCCAAACTACGGCCTACAAGCCAGATCCGATGATAACGAGGTTATATAGGCCAAATGTCCCAATACTTTTGTAGGCTACCAAGTAGATATTTTTGAAGTATATCAAGTGGGTATTCATAAGTTTTTAGTACGTAATTAAATAGACAAGTTTTGCTGATCTCCAGATTGAAAACACCCCAATTCTGAGAATTTTCATAGATGAAATATTTATAGGTTGCGATGAGATAAGGCTATTTACGAAGTTTTAGATGGATATTAATAATTTGATAAAAACCGGTCTGTACCATGGACTATGAGACTTATTTCGACAAACCTATTAAAACACTTTTTATGTTATAATTTTAGACTATAATATATATAGCAATAATAGATATTGTATAAGGATGCAATTTTTAATATGTTTTCTATTCTTTGTTTTTTTTTTTTGTTTTTTTTCTAGAATTCTATCAGACATAACCTTTCTCTGAACAGGTATTTTATTAAAGTACCGCGTTCTCAAGAAGAACCTGGAAAGGGATCATTTTGGAGAATAGATCCCGTCTCTGAAAGCAAATTGATAGAGCAAGCTTTTCGGAGGCGAAGACAACGAGGTGTACCTTGTTTCAGAGTGCCTTTTGGACTGTCATCAAGGTATCTGTTTTTATTACCTTAGATTTAAATTTTAAAAACCTTTTAATTTTGTAACATGCTTTTTTTTTTTTTTTAAATTCTTTTTCCAGTCTAATGAATTCCTTGATCCTTCTATTGAATTAAATCTTTTATAGAGCATAATTTCCATCATTTGTTTTCACCAGTATATGCTATTTAAAGGATAAATAAGATATTTTAAGATTTTATTTGATTGTTGCCTACATTATAGCCAAGGCCCATATTTGTATGCAGTAAAAACCCACACAATATGCCATTTAATATGCAGTAAAAACCACTGAAATGTTCAGCAAAATATGCATTAAAAATATAGTAACTAATCTCTAAATATGCTCAACTTACTAATCACTTGATTACTAATCTATCAGTAATGTATTTAAATATTCTGATCTGAATACGAAAAGTTTTAAAATAAAAATGAAATTATGAAGGGATTAAAAATTACAATAATTTCATTTTTTTTTTTTTTAAATATCTAAACTAAAGAATGGAAATAACTAAACATGAACAGAAATTAAGGTTATAATAAACATATATACATTATAATGGTCAAAAACATGACATGAACCACATTAAAAAAATATCTAAATCATTTAAAGTATATACGAACCAAAAAAAACAAACAATTATTGTATTAACATATAATTAAATAACTATTTAAACATATAAACTATTTAGGTAAAAAATTTAACATTAGTCAATTTTACTTTCATGAGCGAAAATTAGAACACATTTTTTGCGAAGATTGAGGGGAGAGGGTTCATAGTACAAACATACATTTTGTCAGTTTAATCCAAATAGTCACTAAATACATTTTTGATGAAGCCTAACTTTTTAAAACATATTTGTGAATTACGATCATATCTATTGATGCAAAAACTCTATGTATCAAAATAAGATTAAACTATTACATGTCAAAATTATTCACACTAAGTTCTCAATTTTTTTATTTTATGCAGAGAAAATTAATCAAAATACTTTTACAAACTGATAACATTTTTCAACAAACCGGCAATATGCATTTGTTACTAAAAAAAAAATTTAATAATAACCCTTTTTTTCAATTATCCCTTCCACTTTTTTTTTATCTCTATAGATACAATGTATGTGATTTGGAAATAAGTGATTATTTTAAGAAAGGGTTCTCTGATTGCATTATGGACTTAAAAAAGCAAAGCGAATATATATATATATATATATATATATATATATATATATATATATATATATATATATATATATATAGACAATAATGTTAAACAAAGACGTGTTAAGGGCGGAAGTGGACACAAATCCATGTCAGACAATCTAGGAATTGGAATTTTTATTTCTCTAATATGGAATTATTAGAGAAATAATCCTGCTATTTTTCTATTTATGTAGTGTAATTTACTATGATACAATTTTCACTGTCTTTGGCCTCTCATTTCTTGCATGGTGGTTCAGAAAGAACACAAGTTAAGTTCAGACATAGTAGACAGTGAATTATTATTAGACTCTAAGAATTTTTAAGTATAAGGGTATGAAATGAAACAGAAATTCTTAATTAATTGGCATACAAAATAGGAGTGTGGTGTTGGTTAAAGAGATTGCTGCGTAAATCTCTTATTAAGGTTACTAATTTTGTTCTTTGACAAGTAAGCAGATGTTTAACTAATTTTTTGGGTGTTCCTTTTCTGCATATAAAATTACCTACCCACACATTTCTAACGATTCTTATTATTATTTTGCGACATGGCTTATTCTCCTTATGTGGATGATACCAAGCATAGCATCTTTAGACTGCTTTGGGATTTCCTGAGAATTAACACCATAATCACATAAGCAATTTCACTTGGTGTTAATGGATTCCTATCTTGGAATGTATTAGCATCGAGGAAAATCGTTTTAACAAAAAACTGGAACTTCGTATTCAGTTGTTATTCCTATAATAACTGAATTAAAAAAAAAATGTTAATATTGTTAAATTAATTAACATTTCAATTTTAAATAATCAATTTCTCTTTCATAAATGTAGAAAAATCAGTTCATAATGAATTTAGTCTATAAAAGGTTAAAAGGGGAGTTAAGCATTCTATAAATAATATCTGCCTCTCAAAGAATAGAGATGTGTTTAACCATTTAAGACTAACCATAAATGACCAACATCATATTTGGCTGATTGAAATTGAAAAAGTAAAAACTTCAGTGTACCACAGTATTACCAATTTAACACTGATACAGGCACTGTAGAGAATTAAGCCTATAAGATTTTGAATTTGCATGTAGGGAACAATTCCAATCTTGAATATGTAAATCCATAAGAGATAAATAAACAGAAGAGAAGAGAAAATGAAATAAAAACTGAGAGAAGTAAGCCTTCTGAGAGTATTATAATGGACCTAGTAATACCTTTCTAGCATTAAAGACTAGACTTTTTTTTTTTAATATATAGTCCTTTCAATGTATTGCTTTTTTTTTTAATATATAATTCTATCAATGTACTACTTGCTGATGAAATTTCAATCTTGAAAACCTTGTCCTTTTTTTAGATATGAATTTTCAAAAAACACTATAAGCCATATTTGGCAAGTTTTTAATTTGAATATCATAAAAGTGACTGAGTGAAAAAATTATAGGTATATGCCACAAATTTGGTGACTGAGACTCAATCAGTTCCAGAGTTAAATTTTATCTAATATGTCTGAATATTACATTATTGAAATGATAAATCAGCATCCTGCAATATGAAATTGCAGCACTAAATTTGAATTTTAGTTTATCATTACACAAATTCTATGGTAAGTATATAGGTTTTTGCTGCAGTTACCACTCCTGTCACTTTAACTGATATATGTAAGTGTCTTAACAGTGAACTCTCGCCATAACAACTGTATTTGTGATAAGAGGAAAACATTGTTTTAATAACCATTGATATGGATGTGTAATGTTTATTTCTGAACTCAAACTTGAATCTATCAATGTTATTATGTATTGAAGTCTGAATAAACTAGGAACGAATAAAATCTGTTATGTTATTATGCATTTTTAGATTCTATATAAATTTATTACTTTCACTTAACTATATACGTAATATATAGTAAGAGTAAGTATTGTGATTTTGAAAATTTTCGAGTCTAAGTTTTCAATGGAAATACATGTTTTGAGGTATCCTGAGCCCAAACAAACAAGTTCCAAAAAATGGTCTGTGTGTATGTGAACACTTGCTCGAAAATGAAAAGTCATAAGAAACTGATATTACGTATTTAAGATAGGTATATGCTTTAGATGCCCTAGCAAATTCTTTCTTAAAATTGGCTAACCGGAAGTGCCACATTATATAAACGGTGAAACACATTTTTACAACTTTCTCAAAAACAGCTCTAATGATTCTGATTAAACTCGGTGTATCATTGTATAATTAAGTGGTCTTTAATATCATCTAGGTCTTATTCCCGTTGATGTCACTTTACAGGTCTTAAATGCCCAATGTTCATATACATCTTCCTCTAAAGTGACTTTAATATGGTTCATTTCATATAATTAACTATCTCTCATTGTTAAAAGTTGTGAAAAAAATGCTAAATATAACTTTAAAAAGAATTTTATAATTGAATAAAGGAGAAAAAAATTAAAATGCTTATCCAAGTCGAAAATGAATCTCCAGAAATACTAGTCTGAATGTATATGTATAATATATCGTTGGAAAGCGGTGAATTTTAGATAAAATAATATCTAATATAGAAAGTTGTAGAAGGTAACAGAGAGTGACGAAAAAATTATAAGTAATAATTTTGAAAACTAATATTCTTTAACGTTAATCACATGTTTCCAAGGAAATTAAATGCAATTTACTAACTAAATGTAAACTTTTAAAATATTTTTAAGTTAGAAAAAAGTATATAAAATCCACCTCATCAAGACAAAATCATTGTTAAAAAAATTATTTCATTGTATTTGTGTGAAAGAAGAAGTTAAATATCAAATCATTTCATGGATGTATAAAGAATGTGTTTATGACCTTAAATGGATTTACTGTAGTTTAATAATTCTAGATCTGATAGTATATATTTAAATAATTAGGTATCAACATATGTTTATTCTGAAAAATCGTCATGTAACTTTTCAGAAAATTAAATTAGTGAATAATTTGATGAATTTTCTGTTTGTGAAATACCAACATTATCAAGTCTTCCTCTAACGTACCTTTAATTTGGTTTATTATAATTAATAACTATTTCTCATTGTTAGGAGTTACGAAAAATACTAAAGTAGCTTTTGAAAGAATTTGATAATTGAATATGGAAGAAAAAAAGAAAAATACATATCCAGGCTGAAAATGAAATCCCAGAAATAGTCAGAAGGTATAGGTATAGTATATCCTTGGAAAGCGGAGAATTAACAAAAACAAACAATATCTAATATAGAAAATTGTATAAGATAATGGAGAGTGGCAAATAAATGATAAAATTTAACGTGTTCTGATAACCATAACCCTCAACCATTCATTTGATTTTGAAAAAACCTCTGTTTTTACCACGGTCCCTAACCATGAAAAAAGACTCATTTCCGAATCCATCCACATTCACATGGAACAGAATCCTGTTAATCATAAAGTAGATAAAAACTGCATTTCTTTAACATATAGACACATTTTAAATCTTATAAGTGAAAAATAACTTATATATTACATCTTATTATTTTTATCTACTTTCAATTTTTATTGATTAATTCAATTTAATTGATCATTATTCTTAGTATTTCCGTTCTTTATTTAATTTTAATTTTATATTTACATTCTACATCAATGTATGATCATCCGTTTTCACTTTGTATTCATTTTACTTTTTAACCATGTCTCAATATTATCTAATATTTAACTTACATATGTTCAACCAAATATAATAATAATTATTCATTTTTTTCCCCTCTATACTTCTAAGTTAGTTCTACAATGTATCGTCTCTTATTTCTATATTTATATTTTACTTCTATGTACGTTTTACTTCTTCCATTTTTGTTTTTATTCACATTGTACTCTTATCTATAATCTCATAATTATATTTTATATGTATATGTATATATTTATAATTTAATATTTCATTGATATAGTATTTTTTTCCCTTGAATCCATCCACATCTTAAAATTTTAGATACTGTAATTTTCTAGGTTTTTCCCCATTACCCAAACAAGTCAGCAAATTCCCCAATACCTGCCCTTACCCTGATTTTCCAGTTCTAAATGAAACTCCTAGCTGAACACACCTGTAAGTCTCAATTTTTGTTGTTCTAATTTTATTTTCTTATTTATTTATTTATTTTTTCTTTCTCCACATTCCTTTATGTCTATAATTTCATATTATATCTTTTTTCCTTTTCTTTCAATCTGTCCTGTAGATCCGTAGAAGTATATTCACATTTGCATATATTATAAGTTACACTACAACAATTGTTACCATCTATTTACTTCAGTTTAGGATCTTGTTACTTAGCTTACTCTGTTTATATTTTAATGTATTTACTGTTTATAATTTTATTAAGTTTATTCACATTGTTTATAATTTTTTGTCATATTATTATGTAACTTCCACAATTCTCTATCTTTTTGTATCTTGTCCGTTCTAGCCCTGAAGAAGACCTGCAAAGTCGGGTTGAAACGTTGACTTTTAATAAAATAGTTTTGCCACTATTCAGCCTATTCATGACCGCCACCCCTTCCCCCCCGGACCATCTCCCTCCTTCCTTCGAAATATAAAAATATTTCATGGATATGTTTATAACCTTAAATGTATTTACTATAGTTTAATAACTCTAGATCTGATATTATATTTAAATAATTAGGTATCTATCGTCTGTTTATTCCGAAAAATCATCATGTAACCTTTTAGAAAATTAAATTAGTGAATAATTTCATGAAATTTCCCTTTGTGGTATTTCAACAGTGTCTACTTCCAATTAGTGTGAAAACTTTTGACCTGTCTATGACAGACAATGCAAATTTCTTAATTCCATTTTAGTAAACTTTACAATAGAAAATAACAGTTTAATAACTAATAGTCGTGCAATCCATAATCAACCTGTGATATAATAAATAAGACTTTTGTTATTTTAATGGTATTTATGATACATTAGCTGTAAGCTTTTACATTTAGCTTGGTTAAAAATGCAGTTCAAACATTTTATAATAGCCCAGCATGGCCAGAAAATAATTTCTATTCAAAGTTGAGCAGTAAGTGAAAGTTGTGTGTTGCACTCACCAAATTTTTGTTATTTTCATTAAGTAATAATTAGTTTTTATCCTGCCAATATAAATTTAATAACTAATAAATGTTGGATAGAAACCATTTTGAACTCAGAAATACACATCCATATCAATGATTCTTTGAACAATATTTTCCTTCTATCACAAATACAGTTGTTAAAGTTACAGTTGACTGTTTAGGCGATATATATCAATTAAAGTGATAGGAGTGGTAACTGCAGCAAAAACCTATATACTTACCATAGAATTTGTGTTATGTTAAATTAAAATTCAATTCAGTTTTCCAAAACTGATTCCATCCAAATTTCATATTGCAGGCTGATAATTTACCGTATGAAACTTGTACATTTTATAACACTTTATAATAAGGACATATGGCACAAATTTGATGATTGTTGAATTTTATAAAAAAACTTCTCAAGTATCTCTTCTGTTCATTTTTTTCTCAAGTATCCATTGTTCTGACTAATATTTCTGGAATTTCATTTTCGGCCTGAATATGTATTTTACTTTTTTTTTTTCCATATTCAGTTATCAAATTCTTTCAAAAGTTATATTTAGCATTTTTTCATAACTCCTAACAATGAGAAATAGTTATTTATATGTTTAAATAATGTAATAACTAACTACCTCCCCGATGCTACAGGCCAGCATGACCCTTGGCCTCTTGAGTTATTTTTCTCCACTTCTCTCTGTTCTGTGCTTCTCTCTTCCAATTGCGAACTCCCTATCTTCCTCGCTTCTCTCTCTACTTCATGCTTCCAACTGCTTCCTCTTTTTCTCTTCCCACTGAAGTGTGCTTCCAATATTTTCTTCTGTACCCGCTGCTTCTCCATTCTGAACAGATGTCCTATCCATCTCAGCATACTTGCCCTTGATATAGTTAGTAATGTTTTAATTATCTAATATAGCCTCGATTTCATTGTTACTTTTGATTTTTCACTTGCCATTAACACTTGTAGTACTGTAACTTCTTATTATTTTCCTTCAAATACTTTTAGTTTAAGGCAATCCTCTTGTGATAAAAACCAGGTTTCCACTTCATATGTGACTACTGGTCTAATAAGCGTTTTATAAATTAAATGAAAAATAATTTTATTCTGGGACCGAAGTCCCCTTAGAATAATAGCAGTGTTCACAAAATATGTAAATCAATCTGGCATGTAAGTATTATACACATATATTCAAAAATTACCTAGGTAATTGTAAGCATACACAACCCCACACACACACACACACACACACATATATATATATATATATATATATATATATATATATATATACACACAAAGACACTGAGGAAAATCCAAATAATATAAAAAAAAATTAAAGTACCAAGGAAAATATAAATATCTACAAAAAATACTAACGATAAACACAGATATATACAATAAAATACTGAGATATAAAAAAATTAATAAATAAAAATAAAATGACTTCTATCAATTAACTGCTGGTGGCTAACGTAATTATATAACCCACAAATTTTTACAAGCAGGTACCAAATTTGTGCCATATGTTCTTATTATAAAGTGTTAAAATAAGGACCAAAGTATAAAAATATACAAGTTTCATAATTTTTCACTCTATCCCTTTTATAATATTCAAATTCAAAACTTGCCAAAAATGACTTGTCGGTTTTTGAAAATTCATATCTAAAAAAGGAAAAGGCTTTCAAGATTGAAATTTCATCAGCAAGTAGTTAGTACATTGACAGGACTATATATTTAAAAAAATATTAAAGTTGAGACTCTTTTATTATTACAGTTTTGCAGAGCTTACATGAGTTTTATGTTAATTTTCATTTTATAGTTGTGAATTTTTTTAACAACTTTCCTCACTAATTAGGGAGTGTATTGTTAGGCTAAAACATTTAGAGAAAATATGGAATAACTAGTAAAAAAATTATTAAAAGTTTAAAATTTCGAGCAACAAAACTAATTCAAATTGAGTGATTTCAAATGGATTGACCTATTTTTACAATTTTCTCAAAAACGACTTAACGATTTTGATCAAACTTGTTATATCAATGTAAAATCAAGTAGTAGTTAATACCAGATAGGTATTATTATGTTCATTACAATACTCTCAGAAGGCTTGTGCCGAATTTTTAAAATTCCCTTCTTTAAAGGAATTTTAATTTTGTTTATTAAAAAAAAATTAACGATTTCATGTTGTAACTAGTAATAATAATAATAATAATGTCTTAATTTATATATAAATATTAATTTTGTATATCTTATGTATTAATAATGAATATTTACAAATATCTTCCCATGTTGGAGATTTAGAGTCTTTTGAACTTTGTTCAACTTACTAGCCGAACCTTAAAAAAGAAGGCTCTGGCTCCATAAGTCCCTATCTCATGGGTGTCTCGTTTAGAGGGAGTCACCCTCATTTTCTTTACTTCATCGGCCCAGCGCTTACGTTGTCAGCCTCTTCTTATTTTCCTGCCCAGAAGGATGAATTCTGCAGCTTGTCTTGTAGAACTGTCCTCGATTTAACTAGTTAGTTGACCTGCCCAGGACCATTTCATTTTTCTTGCATAACTGATGGCATCAGAAACCATGATTAGCTTCCTTAGTTGACCCAAACCAACTTTGTCTCTTAGAGAGATACCTAACATGGTTCTTTCCATTTAACTATGTGAGACATTTATCTTTATCTCTAAGTTCTTGGTCAGTGACCATGTCTGACATCTCTATTTAAGTACTGGGATTATGCAGCTGTTAAACACAATTATTTTCAAAACATCATCATCATTATTACACTTTTGCAGCCTTAAAAGTCTCATTTTATGTCTATGTTCACGATTTCTTAAAGCACTTTCCTTTCTTTTAGGTGATGTATTGATGAACAGAAATGTAGAAAAAATACTCTACTTTATTCAAGTTTTTATTTTGGTTTGATGTCTACAAATTTTAAATTGCTGCCGAGAAAAAACTGTTAGTCTTAAATTTTTTTTTTAACTATGGTTCTGTACTCTCGAATAAATATGGAATAACTGATAAAAAAAATTATAAATTAAAAAAGGTCAAGTGATATGGATTTTATGATTTCAAATGGATTGACCCAAATGTGTAAATTTGATTATATCAAGGGCCACTTCTGGGCTAGTTGATTTTAACAAAAAAGTTGCTGTAACATTCCAGACCTATTTATACCTTAAATACGTAATTATTTAGTTGTGATAATTTTTAGTTTTGAGCTAAGCTTTTCACACACATGCATGCACAAACCCTTTCACAAAATTTCTTTGTTTCTCTGAGATCCTTAAAACATGTATTTCTATTGAAAACTTGGATTCCAAAATTTCCATGATTGCAATATTTACCCATACTATATATTTCGTATATAGATACGCAGAAATTAAAAAATATTCAGTTTTCTTAATTCACTCCCGTTTTTACAGATTACGGAGGATTTAATTGATGCTTTCGAACTATTTCCTCATTTTTTGTTTTGAAATTTTTTCTATGCAACTACATAAACTTAAAATGTTATATTTATGGCTATTATGATATACTTATTTATTGGTAACCTATGCAAATTCCTGTCCTATTTTTAAACACAAATCCTTAAATTTTTTTTAAATAATTAATTAATTTATTTATAATTAATGTTTTTATGAGGTATTTATGCCTAAAACATTTCCATGTTTTAAATATTATTAGAAGTGCTCCAGCTTCACCTAGCCATGTTGGAATGTCTGGTTTGATGACACCAGAATCTCTTTCTCGAGAAGGTTCTCCTACAGAATCGGCATCAGGTTCTCCTGCTGGTCTCAATAGTCAGTCAGCCCCTGGTTCACCTAGGAATCGAAATGATGGTACATAATCATTTTCATTATGATATTTTATATGTCAGCATTATTAATAAAATTTCTACATTTGTTTTTAAACTTAAGCAGCATGAGTTTTAATTGCATGAAATGCTGTTCTACTATCTTTCACATATTTTATGTTCCAATTTGATTATAACATATTTGATTATCAGAACATAATATATATATATACACAAGAGGGTGGTCTGAAAAGTTTCCGACCCAACAAAAATACAAGACTTTTTTTTTCAACATAGTCTCGTTGTAACTTTACACACTTCTCCCAGCGATGTACCCATCTGTGTAACCCGTCCAAAAAGTACTTGGCGTTTTTCTCTGCAAAATAATTGTTTACGATGGTGATTGCCTCTTCATTTGATGAAAATCTCTGTCCACCGAGCACAATTTTTAGTTGAGGGAACAAAAAGAAGTCGCTTGGGGCTAGATCTGGTGAGTAAGGACGAATGGTCAAGCAGTTCAAACCACAATTTGTGGATTTTCGCCATGGCAACCACTGAGGTGTGAGATTGTCTATGCATTGTCTTGGTGAAACAGGGTTTTCTTTTTTTGCTAATTTGGCCGTTTCTGCAAGTTCTGTCTTCAGCTTGTCAAGTATTGATGCGTAGTATGCTCCTGTAATGGTTTTTCGTTTTTGAAGATGGTCGATTAAAATAACACCATGACTATCCCAAAAACTAGTCGCCATCACTTTTCCAGCCGAGAAAGCAGTTTGTGCTTTTTTCGGAGCTGGTTCTCACTTTTCAGTCCACTGTTTGGACTGTATTTTTGTTTTGGGCGTATAATGGTGTATCCAAGTTTCATCTTCAGTAATTAATCGCCGTTAAAACTCGGATTTATTGTGCCAATAAAGCGTTGGAAATGTTCTTTCGAACACATTTTTGGTTTAACATGAGCAAAAACAGCACCCAACGTGCGAAGAGCTTTCTCATATTTAAATGTTGATTTAATATGTAACCAAGACGTTCTTTTGATATGTTCATAATCTCTACTATCTCTCACTTTAATTCGGTGTTTTTCTAGCACCGTTTGATGTTTTCGTTGGTAGTTGCAGTTTTTGAACTGCCCGAATGTTCATCCCAAGCTCTTACAGCAACGTTTAAATTCAGCTGCCCAAAATTTCACTGTGGTCAATGATGTTGCAGATTCCCCATACACAGAACCCAACTCATCTTTGATTTGCGTAGGCGTATTGCCTTTAAAAAACAAATATTTAATGACAGCTCGATATTCGATTTTGTCCATTTTCACAAAAACACTCACATCAACTCACTCAAACGACTATTATATAAAAACTGTGTGTCCTAAATGACTGAAACTTGTGGGAAACTGTCAACAGATGAACAACGAAATTCATTTGCTTTTATTTACAAGTGCTGCCATCTTCATGTTGTGGTCAGAAATTTTTCAGACCACCCTCGTTTAATATATGTACATGTATATATTATATATACATATATAATATATATATGTATATATATCCATTTCAATATAACCTACTATTTCATATCTATTGATTTAATAAATGTTGAATATTAGGTATGTGTGTTTGGAGCTTAGCTGATTCGTCATCATTAATGAAATGATAAATGAAACCTATGGGAAAAGTCATTATAGTTTGTTTTTTTAAGCTGGTCAGAAAATGGGGATTCGCATTATCTTATTCTAACATTGACATACTATTTAAAAATTTCATTTAAAAAACAAGGATAAAATGATGCAAGAAATTGCTGAAAATAGAAAGTTAAGAATTCTATTTATTCTAAACTAGTTAATAAAATTATGACTTTCTTTAAATATTTACTGAAAAAAACCAATTACAAGAAATATTTTTAGTTTTACTTTCCTCCTTACCTTTTATAATATGGATATACATAATTGATTTTATTATTAGTTGTTTAAACTTTAAACTAAAATATCAAGAGTGAAAACTTTCAGTTTGGTTGGCATTTAAAATATTTACCCAGGATTGAAAAAAATATATCATACTAATAACTGTTATGTTAAGTGTTTTTTTTTTTAAATATTATCAAATAGAGTGATATTCCAGTCTAATAAAGTGGAAAAAACAACAAACTGTATAATTAAAGATTTATAGCTTTTCTTTTTTCCTCTCTCTCTCTCTCTCTCTCTCCTTCCTTGCCTTTTAGGCTACATGGGTTTTTCCTGGGTCGGGAAAGAGGGCTGGGAATTATGTTGAGTTAAAAGTCCCACCCTTCACCATGATTTGAACTCATAATTGTTTTTCTATGTTGAACTTCAGTTATATCAGGTTGCTGGGCAACACCCGGTGCTGTGCAAATGTGTTAGCCCGCTCGGCCACCCCGCCCCTTAAGAATATATTGGAACCGGTCTTGAACCAGAAACCTTTACCATTCCAAGTTCGCATGCTAACCACTGGACTATAGAGACACTTACAGATATATAGCTAAAATTTTGTATGAATCTTTACTTCAACATTCTAAATGTTGGCTAAAAATCTCGTGTGGCCACTACTCCTCCCATCCATTAAATCTTTTTTCAAAATAAGAAACAATAATAGTAATAATAAATAATGGCAGGGCAGGAGTTTTAAGGTGATAAATAGCTGGATTATCATGCCCATCTATAATAAATAGTGTTCGCCCATTGGTCGAAATTCGGCCATGGCCATTAAAAATATGAGGAAAACATATATTAAAACAAAAAATAAATTCAATATATAAAGAGTAAATCATCATTCAAAAATCCTCATTTATTAGTATAAACAAAATTTTAATTTTAATTAAAAATCGAGCTTAACTACTTAAAATTGTTTATATGTAATACAAAATAGACTCATTCAAAAATATTTAATTTCCATTTTAACTTATGTGCATTATTATCACAATAAATTAATGTTATGATTAGGCAAGTAAAAAATAAATTTATATTAGCAATTTCAATTCAGTTTAAAGCCATTTTTATTCAAAACTTCTCTGTAAACAATGTTCTTTTATTCTTTAGCATATAGCCTTGCCTATTGCCATTGGAAATATAAATTTTAAATGAACTTGCTCTACTTGCTGCTACATATAATTGTCCATGCAAAATTACTGGACGTCACAATAATACACACATTTTTCCAAAACTTTGATCCTGCGATTTGATTATGGTCATAGCAAATGCAGCTATTAATAAGAACGTTGTTCTTTGAAATTCGAATGGAAGTATTGTGTCAGAAAATATTAAATTAATTCTTGGAATTAAAATTCTTTTATTTAAAGTAGCTCCCATTAGTACTTCACTCTCATTCGTGTTCCATTAACTAATGCTTGTGCAGTATTTAAGTTAAGAATGAGTATAACTATAGAATTTACTTTTAAATTTAATTTATAAGGTAACATTCAATGATATCATCTCTTCAAATAATAGTCCCGATTACTTCATTAAATGTAAAGTTTTCGATTTATCAAAAACCAAAATAATGAAAATCGACTTTGCAAAAGAAAAAGTACTAAATGTTTAAAATGATATATCTCTGAAACAAATAGTCCGATTTTGATGATTTTTTTCTATTTTGTAGGGAATTCAGGAAGCTTTCAAATAAATATTGGTACTACCAATAAAAAAATGTGTAATTTTTGAGTTATTCGTAAATGAAATACTGAATTCATCATAAAAATTTATGCAGCTTGTTTTCGGGAAAGTCCGTTATATACATAAATTATGAATGTTTCTAGGGGGAAGACTAGCCAAGTTTCATTAAAATCGTTGAAGCCGTTCGTATTGGTGCTACAGTCTAAAGCGAATCATGTTTTTCGGCTGTCATTCCGAAAGGAAAGGTCTGATGATAATGAAACGTATACAAAAACAATTCTAAATATTATTGCGACGTTGTGTCAAAATTTCAAAGAAATTGGTGAAGAACTTTTGGAGATTAGCCATTTTGAATAAACTACCATTTATATTTTTATTTACATACTATTTCATAATTTTATTTATTGATAACACTAAAGCTAGTCAATAGCTATTAAATAAAAAAGAAGGAAGAAAATCGGTTAAATAATAGAGGAGAAAAAGGGTCTGAACCGATTTGTGTTTGCCTATAATGATAGTATGAGGATAATTGACTGTAATTTTAATTTAAGAAGTTGTAGGAGTGGCAGGTTGTGGTCAATAGTGTCCACATGATTTGGGTCAACATACAAAAGGTCGTGGGGCCACTGCCGTTTCAACCTTCTTGGAGGATTATAGGGATGAGTGGTGCTTGATAGGGTTTGTGTAAGAGGATTTGGATGATATGTAACGTTCTGGTGAAATTTGGAGAATTTTTCTGGGATAAGGTCTAGGACAAATGGCAAGTTGAGGTCATGATGTAGGGTTTTGTTGGTTACATAGAAAGGATCATCGACTATTGTTCGAAGGACTTTTGACTGGAGGATTGGATGTGTTTGATGTTAGAAATTATGGCCAAATTAAATTTGTTTTTATTTTTAACATTTTTTTTTTTTCTGAGATGTTGAGGGTTGTATTTAGACAATCTTTATTATGGCGGTAATAAAAGATGGTGTATATTGTATTTATTTCTAACAATGAGGACTTTGCCCGATCCATAAGAAAGGTGGTATCTTGGATTGTCATAACTATCGTGGAATATCTTTGGTATCATGTACTTATGAAATTCACTCAAGAATCCTCTTTCAGAAGCTACTTCCATTGGCTGAGAGAGAAATAGGAATATATCAGGCTGGATTCATGTGAGGAAGATCTATGGTCGACCAGATATTCGCTATTAGAACAATCCTAGAAAGGGCAAGAGAGTATAATGTATGCATACACTACCTCTTCTTGGACTTTGAAAGAGCTTATGATAGCATCCTGAGAGATGAGCTCTACCATGATATGTTAAACCTGGGTGTTCCACCTAAACTTGTGCAACTGATTCAAGTGACAATGAAGGAGGGGAGGTGAAATGTACTGTCAGAATCCAAGGTGATATGTCGGACTACTTTGAAATGCAGAAGGGA